AAATATGAAATGCTTAGATGTGCACTGTATGCATGTTGCCACTTGAGAAACAATGTCATACTCATTCACTTGAGTGTCTTCATGCATTCTTTTGGTTAAATTAAAATAAATGGAAGGCATGCCTGGCACTGGAGATTTAAATACTACCTCTCTATAGAACTGTGGTTTATGCCATTTCTAGATTAAAATAAACTGTATTAAAAACAACAATGACAGGGAAGCTTTAGGCAATGGCTGAAATCCAGTAGTTAGTTGTGGCTAGAGTAGGACCACAGAAGCAGTGGATATTTGGTAAGTCTACTCTTCTGTAACTTCCATTGATTCAGTGAGTGTCCTCTACAGTAGTTGCAACTTACCATTTGATTTTGGCCAGACGACATGCTTACTATAAAATCAAATGTTCTCAAACTGAGGGGCCCTAAACATTCTTGTTCGTAACTCTCAAATGCCCTAGCCAACACAACCAGCAGTCAGGACTTCTGGGACATGGAGTTTAAGAGCATCTGCAATTCCAAGGCAGGAAACAGGTACTCTAGGTGTAAAGCAATAGGCATCTCTTCTGGACATAATTAATGAGCAGAATCTTGCAATCCTCTGAATATTGTGTGATAACAGAGACCAGTGATTCCCAAACTTCTTTGACTCCCAGCAACCTTGACTTACTGACCACAGGCCATGGTCCCCCAAAACAATAGTTTGGGGGAAGTGGGAAAAGGGGAGGGGAGAAGCAAAAAATAAAATAAAAACTTTTGGGAACTGTTGATTTAAGGGAACTGAAGAAGGAAGGAAAGCGAAAGACATCTGAAGGAGGGAGAAGACGGGAAGGGAGGTGGGGGAGGAATGCGGGTGGCTGTAGAGGGAAACTGAGGGCAGGGCAAAGGCAGGGCGTCTGAAGGAGGGAGAAGACGGGAAGGGAAGGGAGGTGGGGGGAGGAATATAGGTGGCTGTAGAGGGAAACTGAGGCAGGGCAAAGGCAGGGTCAGGCATGGGGGGGGGAGTTTGGCTGGGATTACCAAGCCTCGAGCAGCCAGCCTCCTGGGCCTGTGGGAGCCCTCATGCTTGCCTTCTCCAACTGGCTCTGGCTGGGGCACCCTCCAAGAGGGGAGAGTGTGGGAGGACAAGTATGTGATATGGGGTATGGGGGGGGAGAAGGGGATCGGGGATCCTCTCCTCCCTCCCCTCCCCTGCACCTCACAAACTTTTGCACTGGCTGGGAGGGATGGGATCTCTCGCACACACGCCCCCCCACACACACACACTGTGTGCACTCTTGGGGCAGCTCTCCTTGCAGCTGCTTAGCTGGCAACGCCTTCGATGTTCTGTGGGTGCCAAGGCAGAGGGATCAGTGAGACCCAGGCTGTGCACCAATGTGGTGCCAAATCCTCAGAAAAGGGGATGAATATGAGAAATATATACTGCCACCCTCCCTTTTCCCCTTCCCTGTTTAGTGGCCAGCAATCTACTATATTTTGAGGTTTAGGTTCCTGCATTCCTGCCTTCATTCTTATTTCAGCTGATGATTTTGGACTGGTTGCATTGGTGCTCTGGATGCCCTGCCCTGCCTCACCTCCTTCTACAGGAGCCCAATCAGAAGCAGAACCACAGGCTTCCCTGACCCACCGCCTGTGTGAGGAGGCAGGGCGGGGGATCCAGAGCACCTGCACAAGTCCTGTGAGTCCGAACCAGCCCCAAATCATCAGCTGAGATTAGGAATGAAAGTAGGAGCCGAAATCTCATATAGTAAATTGTTGGGCACTAAATGAGAAAAGGTCATGGGCAGGGAGAAAAAGAAGGGAGGGTTGCGAGGAGGATTCTGCAGCACTCCTACTGAGGGTTCTTGGTGTACTAGGGCGCTGGGGACACACTTTGGAATCCCCTGACCAAGACAGTTATGAGCGAGAGCAACAATGTGTTTACTACTATCTGCCTTAGGAAGCATTGTCACTTCAATGGTCTGCTGAGCCACTGAAGATAGAAGCTGACCTCCTTCCATTTGTTAAGAGACAGAAAGATTTTTGGTTCCTGCTTTTTGTGTACATGTTAATACACTTGACTTTTAAAATCTGACAGAAAATTTTTAGGAAAATCCAATATAAATACGTAAGGAATATTTGTTTTACTTTCACATTGTTACCCTTAAACCCTTATTTACATTGTTTCCAACTGTATATTACTTCATTGCAGGGATGTAAATCCTCACATTCTTTCTTATGGCATAGAAAAACTTCAAAGGTTTCCTCCCTGCTGGGTGAGGGCTTTCCCCCCCCCCC